TTAATCAATCGATAAGATTGCTAATAGTCTCTTACGTATGTACCTCATTATTACTTCCACCCTGTTCGTATGTTTGCACAATTCTTTACGTAAGCGATCGAATCGTTTGCTCGCAAGAACCTATAACGTGAACCACTTAATACTTCTAATTATAACTTGTAATTGAAATAATACATTTGTTACGGTTTAATTCTTAAAAGTTATTACTGCAAAGCAGTGCGATACACAAGTTGACGTTCATCGAATGTCTGACGAAACTCACTGCAACGCTTACGATATTTCATTTTTTCGAAAATGTATAATTAACAGGAATCACGCGTTACGTCGATGTTTGGCGAACGATAGTTGAAGAATGTCGATTCGTTTGAATACGAAACGATGATCTGCAACGAAAAGGAAAGAGTGGAGCACCGAGTTGTTGCACTTTCTCCGACCTATCGTCGTGAGAGAATCTTCTTCGACAAAACCGAGCGAAATAATTAGATTTAGAACCGGTAGATGATACCGGAAACGCGTTTCGTAACCGGCGCCGGTTAGACGCTTCCGCTTTTCTTCTTTCGTCGAACACGCTCGACCCTTTCGATTTTTTTGCTAACTATACCACTGTCATAGAGAGTGGCACAGCTAGATCATTCATATACATAGATATATCATTGAAACAACTAACTTTTTCTTAGCTAGATAGCAAGTCATAGTTTTACAAGTCGACGCAAATATCTTTCATGTACACTTATAACGTCTTTGTTTATTGTGTATTACATTACATTTATAAATTACATCACAGTTTACAAGATACGTACGAAATTATTTTTAGACCCATAAACATAAGTTTGACGTGGCCATAGAATATTTTCTACGCACTTTTTTAGAGATAGTGTTTTCAGTTGTAAAAGAGGAGGAATCAGTTTTACGCGACGTTAGGGGAATGCAAGAAATTAGCCGAGTTTCGCAGACAACGAAGGGAATTACAGTCTCGTAACCCTTTCCGAGTCAGGATTTGCATTTAAAGAGAGGGCGCGAACGCCCGAAGAAAAAAAGGGCAGTAGCATATAATAACGCAGTGGGAAGAACTTGTAGGATGTCTTGTCAGTCAACAGTCTCAGATATTCATGGGATTCTCCCCTACGAAGCGACGAGGCTGCACGTCGCCTACAATTCGACTTACTGTCCACGTTTTTGACCAACCTTTCACCGTAAACGATTTCCCTTCTATCTTGTCTCCCATCGTAACGCGGCTATCGTTCGCAAACGCTCGTTAAATATGTTCGAAGCCAGGTAAACGAGCTGACTTGCGGTCGCGGCTATGAACTGAAATTAATTTCTTGGAAAACTTTTTTATATTACAAATTAATCTTAACATAGACTGGACGTATAAGAAATTCCTTGAAATTTTTAATTTGGTAGTGATGGGTACAATAAAGCTAGACAAAGTTAAATATTTGTTCAGATATTTTTAGAATATGAAGTTTACGAGGGGTAAAGTTTGGAATTTGATAACTTAGAGTTGTCGGATTGAGTCAGCCTGACGAATTTCATTGAAATATTACGTTTAATTACATGATAGCCTAATTCAATCTTCCTGATAATACTTATCTGGCTGTTACATAATGCTATTTACCACTCGATGTATGCAACCGCGAATTGACCTTACATAAACGCCCACACGAATAAATTCGTGTGGTTCTCTTTTTCGTACCAACCCAATCTTCGGGTAATTCGAATATTTTATTTACTACAACTGTTGCTGCGGAATAATTTGATGGACTTGGAGCATCGTTTTAATGAATAATAATATAAGTTGTATAAGTCATAAGCAAATCATGTAAGATTAAAATAGGAACATAATAATCATTTCCATGTATTGCCCTTTGAATCATTGCTTGTTTACCGAGAATTCTCCATTTTTCCATCCTCGTTGCATTACACAGTTAATTAATTATAAATTCACATCGCGTAGGTACTCGATTGCAGCACTAGACATTAACGAGAAAAAAATCGCGTACATACTTATCTCACGGGGGTGCAAAAACAAGTACGGTTCGTTACATAAAGGTCTTGAAAATCGTTTGGTTCACGGACGTATCACTTAATGAAAGTGATAGCTGCTTCGATTTGAAAAATTGTAGATGTTGAAGAAGAGGAATATTTCTTGGGAAAACGGAAAAGAATAATTACACCGATGTAGCGTTTAATTAGCATTGCCAGGGACAAACCACGTACTCTGTCCGATATATCGTGACGAATTAATGGGGCGTACGGTAATCACTAGAATTCATCGATCCATTATTCTCTAGGATCTGTGCTCGATGATCTTCTGCTCGTTTCACGCATCGTGACTTTCGGTGGTCTTGACGGTGAGTGATCAAAAATCACTTTCTAGGTCAATGTTCAATAGTGCTTTTCAATTTTTATACAGTAAATGAACTTCACGAAATTGTCTGATTGACGGAAGTTGTATTTTATGAACAGTTAGGTGTAAATAACAGAATGCATTTTTGTTTGTGATCATTAAAATATTACAGGTTGCTGGTATTTTAGAAATGGGTTAAAAGGTGAACCACAGTAGGAGCATATCGATTACATTTAATTCAATGCAATCTTACCTGAAACTTTTTCAATTCCACCAAATATCGTTTCAAGAAATAACTTGCTCTTAACCGCTGAAAATATTCTGTAAAGAAAGAAGATTTCGTCGACACGCGATTTGCCATTGTCCCAATAACTATTTCCAGAAATATGCGTGACGAAAGAGAATTATGCATTTCCCATAATTAACTTAATACACTACTGGCATCGTACCTTATATCTTCTACTGTGAACTTCAAGAAAAATTCAGATACTTGAATAATTCGCATCTTTCAAAAAATAAAGAGTTCACTTTATTTAAACACCGATGTAATTGACAATTTACGTAAGTGGCCACTGCATTGCAAAAACTCGTGTAACGTGACAATTCATTACGATCTCGTAAAAACCAGTACATTACATAAAACACCCCACAACGAGTGTATGGGATCCTCAGAACATTGATTCATAGACCAGTCAACGCGTTCGTGTTCCAATCAAATGAATTATAGGTGATCAGCAGTTCGATAAAACTAATTACGTCCTGACCAGATTGAAAAACGAACTGACTCCGAAGACTGCCTTGAATGAACCTGCTTGTCTTCTTATTTGCAAATGTCACCGCTTTTGCGAAATAACCTTACATAATTTTGTAATTATTAGCCCCTAGATAAATACACGTTGACGCGAGTATGGCTGTCAAGTTGATCGAATCGTTATTTGTTACATCGTTCGAGTTTTCTATTTTATTTTTTTTTGGAATAAATCATTGAGTGATTTATTTCGCGGTTTATTCTGTCACTGCGTGACGACTCGAGAATGTGGAGAGTGCGATGCGTGGAAATGCAGCTCGTGGAAAATACAACATGGAGAATTCGACGTGTTCAGAACACAACTCATAGAAGACATAAGTAGAATACAGTACTTAGAAATTATAGCGAACTGAGAATGCAACGCGTGGTGAATTCTATGCGTGGAAAATTTAACGCGTTGAAAACACGACCCATAGAGAATACAACGAGTGGAACACAATGTCTAGAAAATATAACGCTGAGAATGCAACGCGTCGAAAGTGCAATGCGTGGTAAGTGCAACGCGTGGGAAATGCAACTCGCGAAAAATACAACGAACAGGAAACACAACGTGGAAAATTTAACGCAATGATTTGTTTCAAATTCACCCTACACCCTCCAAAAAATTCTAAAGTTGCAACATCGCCCGTAACATGTATCATTTCTATAGAAAACCAATTATTTTCATCGGGAAATCCTTTTTCCGCATAAATGACCATGACCTTTATGGAGAATCGCTGGAGTCCAATCTGATACAATAATTGCGGTAATCGCTCGTCAATGTTGGATTATACCGGTCGTGCTTAGGCACAGTTTACATAAGCACGATGAGAGGGTACACGGTGGTATGTAGCACAGTTGTAAAAGTTATGCAACTTGCAAATTCCGATGCTCATGACTCGGATTCGCGGAGGATCCGTTATCTGTCATCCGGTGATCCCTTTAGTCAACCGCAGATCTAACGTCTAACGCAACGCTCGACGCGATTATTTTACGGTAAATTTTATTAGACAGTTGCTGGAATAAATCTTTTTCTGGAAGAAATTTTTTGAGAAATAATATAATTATTCGTCGAGTTGAAAAAGCTTGCTCTTGATGAGTTCTAATAATAGAATAAATGAAATGGGAACCGTAACTATCAATTAAGATTGTGCCATCGAAAAGCATCGTAATCTACTCGTTAGATATTCAGTCCTTTTCGTATCTTAACTTCGAGCTTTATCAACATATGCCCTCTCGAGTTAATTAACGTAATTACGAAGCGCGGAACAATACACTCGACGACACCGTAATTAGTGCATGAAAAACCTCCGTAAGATGCACTCTCCTTGTGCACCAGACGTGGTCCCATCTTAACTTTATTATTAAATATTGAAATTCTCAGACTCCGGAATATTAGTCTTTTGGAAGTTTCAAAAGTTTAATTTTTAAGTATTTTGAGCCTAGAAAGTTAATTGGAAATATCAATATGCCTGAGTTGTAGGTCTAATCCTCTAAGGAACATCAAATACTTGAGCTCGCGCAGAGATAAATCTTGAAAATCCAAAAACAGACAACGCGTTACATAACGTTGTTCAGCTAGGTGGAGTCGAAGGTATCCGTGGAGCGGAGCGGAGTGAAGCGATACGAAGCGTAGCGACGAGGTCTTGCGGCTCACCACACGTTGTCTAAAGCCTCATGGCACTCGTGTTACGCCTACGTTGTTACGGAATTGTTCTGGTGGTCCAAGAATCGCGGAAAAGTCGTCTCCTCTCGCGGACAGCAAACGTTTCACGCTCTCGTGGAGGGGTACAGGTACGCTCCTCCTCTCGTGTACCCCCGTTCCTGCATTTTTAACCGAGCTTTTAGTGCGGTTCCGAGCGTCGTTCCATTTGCAGTGTCGTTCTTCTTCTTGTTGTTTCTCTCACGCTCGTTTGCCTGCTCGTTTTATCGCCGGGAACGATGACCGATTGATCGTATCCTCGTTAAGGTTCTTCGATTATTTGCTCGCGGACCTCGAATCTGTGCTGATTCGACTTTTTAGCGCGCTGGCAGGGGGAAGTGAAACTCCTTTGAATTGTGTTGTTCTTAGGTTGCATATCGATTAAAGATTCATATTTCGAACTTTTAATTAGGAAGATATTCAAAAGTAGTATAAGTGATTATACGAGTTTTTTCAAAATTGACGAAGATTTAAGAATTGTCCAAGTTTCTTTGAGACTTCTGGAAGAAAGTCTATTTTGTATTCGAGTAGCTCGCCTGGTTCTATACAAAGAAATTGGAAAAAGAGGTCAAGAATCCTCCAATTAGTTACTCCTTTGTGAAACTAGGCGATAGAATCGTCTTTTTGATCACTTAAAATCGATTACCTCTTTTATCGCTGACTTACCAACTTTGCTATCGGGAACATTAATTGGGGTTTAGGGTACAACTTTCAGGTGATGCATCAAATTTCTTTTCATCTTTATCGTTATACTTTATTAAAGTATAGAACAATTGATGTTAAAAGTGTCCACGTATCTAAATTTTCAAACTAAACTCGTTGCTAATTGTTGAGTGAACATAATTGGGGCAGTCGATACGTCTGGAACAACTGGATCCCGCATCGGAACGTGTCAGCGGAGCGTATCTGTTTCATCTGTCTCAGGGAGAGACAATGAACCACCGGGTGCAGTAGAGGGTTAGAAGGTGCGAATCAACCGCAGAGGTGGTTCTAGCCGGTGTAACCGGTCTCGGCGGTACTCCCAGGCTTCTCCGTTTCAGAAGGCCTCGTCCTGGTCAGAATCGCGGGGCCGACAACCGGGTCGGTCGTTCGCTGTTTTCTTTCGCCGGGCCAGCGGGAAAAAGAGTAGGAAACGGAGGGGGAAACGTGTCGGATTATCCGTAGCTGGCCGATCGGACCTAGAAAGTCGTCTCTTCTAAGGTTTCCACGTCGACCAGAGGAAGCCAGGCCGTGGACTGCGGCGTCGATCGGCAGAGCGAGACACAAAACAAGCTGAACCCGCGTCGTCGCTCATCCTCCGAGGATTCGAGCTCTCCTTGTTGCTCCGTCTCTGCCCCTTCTTCCACCTCTGACCGAGGATGGATCGAAACGAGAGCGCAAACGAGGGTGGAAGCTCGCCCGACACGGTGATAGCCCGCTCCTCCGAGGGCGAAGCCGAACAGGAGGAAGAAGAGGATCGCGGCAAGCACGGTTGTACCACCTCCGGGGAGTACGTGACCGTGGGCGACAGCAGTTCCAGTCTGGACACCCTGACCAGCTCGACACCTGCCGGAACAGCGCCCTCCGCGGATAACACGACCCTCGCCGACGACAAGAAGAGGGGAAGATTCGGCGCGTTGAAGAGCAGCTTCCGAAAGGAGGGCGGCTTGTTCAAGATCAGGAAGAAGAACAGGTCCAACGACGACGCGCTAGCCGAACTGGAGCCGGATGCCGACGAAAAAGGTTCTCTCCCGTGGATCTGCTGCCCGGATCAACCCCTTTTCTCTGTTTTAGTGAACCTCCTTCACGAACGTGTTCGTTACCGTCATTCTTGAGGGTTCGCTATTCGAGTAAATGACGATCTGTGTTGTGGATGTTCGTTCAAGTTTTTCGTTGCTTCTTTCTTTAGTATTGTTTCATCCTAAAGAGTCATCCATTTCTACTCCAGATTTTTGGGATCGTTTCATTCTATTCCACATTAAAAAATTTTAGATTTCCTAACTGAATCTGATAGTGCAACAGATTGATGAATATGACATTTGACAAAATAGTACATTAAATCACTGAATCTTAAGTGCGATTTCTTCGAAACAAAGGATTATCTATCCTTAGTCTGCTTGGATCCAGTAGTTCGAATCAAAGAATAATCCCTCATCTCTTCTTTGATCTCTTCTTGATCAGTAGAAAGTGTTTTATGAAGGGTTCTTCATCGTTAAAGCACTCGTCGGTATCAAAGAATCCTTTCGATCTTCTGATGGAAAGAAGCAATATAATCTAGGTTTATATACATAGTACTAACTTCAATTCGTAGATTTTATAGTACAATAAGTCCTTAAGATCCTTAGATCCATAGGGTACCAATTCCAACTTATCTCATAGTACAATAACTATACTCCGTAGGTTATGAATCTCTAGATCCTATAACAGTTCCATCTTCTAGGTCCCACTTCTACACCCTATAAAACAATAGTTCCACATGCAACATCTCATAGATAGTAACTCTGAATCCCCTAGTGTAACAGTTTTAACTCCAAGTCCCTATAGTTCCTCTAGACCTTACGATGTCTAACCTTCTACATCCCACAGCGTTAGTACCAACTCCCCATGGTTCAACAGAAAAAGATCACATAGTATCCAAATTCACATGCCCATAGTATAATAGTCCCAAATCGATAATTAGCACCGGTAATTAGTACTTAAAAGTATGTAGCTACGAAATCACTGATCAGCAGCCATAAAACGCGAAGAAGCAGCTCTGACCGGAAATTGCGTGTCCCGGCAGAAGCGGGCCGCAAACGGAGCCCGGAAGAGGAGGACGAACGGAAGGGTGGCACGGTAACGAGCTCGAAGAAGAAGAAGAAGAAGTCGCATTCGTTGGTGCGGAAGCTGAGCCTGAACAAATTTCGTCTATCGGCCGAACAGGAGCCCAGACACACGCCCGAAGGTGGCGACAGCAGCCGATCGCAGAGCCAATCGTCGCAAGAGTCGCCTAGCCTGTCGGACAGCCCGTCCAGGATCACCAGGAAGGGGCAGGAGATCGAAAGGCTTGGCCATCGCGACGGCTTCGAGGCTGTCACGCGAGACATCAAGGAGAGGGAAAGAGAGAAGGGAGAGACTAGGAAATCGGAGAAGCTGCCGGTGAAACCGGTGAGCACCGTGACCGTAGTGCAGCGCAGGTCGCCGTCGTTGACCATCAGGAGCTTTTCCAACATTCAACCTGGTGAGCCATCTCTCTCTCTCTCCTTCTCTCTGTCCTTTCTTCGACCCCTTTTCTGTTTAACCCCTATTCGGATCGATGCTTTCCTTAGGGTGTTAATGAAATTAACACCTTCGATGCTCTGTGGGCTGCTGGTGGTCGGAAGGTACTCTTTCGTTTGGCTTCGAACTTAATTGCTAGAAAATGGTGATCAAAATTAACGGGTGATTGGGTCGCATCGGATATGTACGGAAGAGGGTGGACCATTTGGGTCAAGTCGGATTCTTGCGATATACAAATATTTTGTATATTAATTTATTTCTATCTTGATCGGATAAGCTAGTGACTTATAACAGCTATTTTATATTTAGTATATTTTTGTGGGTAATCGGTTAATTATTGTTTGCTTATGCAATTGAACGGTGCAAAGTGCGACGATAGAAGAGTCGATACTTCCCCATAATTAAATGCCTCTTTGATCCAATTAAATTAACAATACTGTGCCTGTTCGATTATACACTTAGCAATTAAACCGTTCAAAATATGATAGAGGTCCGCAAGCACATTTAACGAGCTTTTTTTGCCCTTTTGTTGCAAAATAACTTATTGCTTTAACTTTATAACGCGAAGACCTTTAGCAAACTATAGTTTACTTCCTGAAACTTCAACCTCCCTTAAATTAACACTTCACATATTTACAACCTTCAAAGTTCTGTCTTGAAAGACAAACTTTATTAACTCTTCTTACCCTCTTTCCTCTTCGCTATAAGATTAAAACTTCCTGTATTCATATTTACGTCGCGCAAATTCTGACTAACACCGAGAAATCTTCATTAATTCTCTTCTGACACCCGATAAACTTGACGATTAAATTAAAAGAAGCTCACGGAGCTACCAGTATACAAATAGTAGCGAACCCCGATGAACGTGATGTCTGCGTGCGCAGATCTTCAGGGCGTCGAGAAGTCAGCACGGCCGGAAGCTCGGTGCAGCTCAACGCTTCCGTACGCGATTTCGAAATGGCCGGAGCAGAAGAACGGAAAATCGAGCGAATCTAGGAAATCGAAATTGAACGCAAAGTCCGAGTCCGAATCGGGGATATCGAAGTCGTCGCCGCACGAGGTCCGCCGGAAGTTGTCGTTGCTGGAGGAGAAACGCGCTATCTTCCAACGACGGTTGTTCGAGACGACCCGGGACAGCGATTCCGGTGAAACGGTGGTGGCTGTCACCGTGTCCGACGAGGACAGGTCGACGCCTACGAAAAAGGAGGAGAAACACGAAGAGGCTGGGAAGAAGAGAGCCAGACACATAAGCGTGGGGAAGTTTGACACGTTTTCCACGTTCGAGGGCACTTTCGACGAGGAAACCGGGGTTGGTTACCTGGCTGGTATCGAGGAGGATTACACAGAGAGCTACGACAGACAAAACGACGGTTACGCGAGTATTCCGACCGCCATGGGACCCATGGTGGCCACGGGAGACACCGTGGAGAAGGCGAAGATCGCCAGCCAGGAGAGCATGGTGAGAGGAACTCACCGTTTATTATTTTACATTTGCGGTTACGAATGTTTTGTAAAATATATTAGTTGTCTTAGTATATCGTTCTATTCACGATAATTGCTAATCGACATTATCGTGCCAAATTAATTTGCAATTAACATCGTGATCTTGCGAGCCAGAATGATTCGACCTTGTTTTGCGTTTATATTTAATCACAGTTCCATGAAAGCACAAAACAATGATACCCGACGCGGAAGTTTATCAGCTTCCAAAAATACTCTCGTAATCAATCCCCAACATCTGTAATCAACTATAACAAGTTTTATTTTCGATTATTGATAAGACGTTCGTACATAAACTACGCTCCCAATATTTCAAACTGAATCGAATTTTTGAAATTCGATCAATTTTCCACTCGTGACAAATTTTATACGCAATTTTATTTTTAACTGAGCACTCTCGCGACTATCTTCGATTTCATTACTATTTATTAGCGTTACAATAGATCTTTGCATGACCAGTGGTTTCTCTTTCCACGACCTATCATCTATAATTTCTTCCACCTTATTGGTTTCAAACTATCATCACGTATTTACGCTTTGAAATTCTATAACTTCGTGTTAGGAAATAGACGTTGTGGTTCGATTATTGATCTACTACCACTTCGACTTCATGATCCTTGATACGAAGAAGTTTCGAGTTACATGACTTTGCGTGCTTTATCTCCGTCTCCCTTCTTGAGAAGTTTAATTGGAGCACGGCCGACGTCTCGAGATGAAAACGCGGGAAAACTTTGTCTGTCAGACGCTACTTGACCTGTCGAGCCTTTTTGAGCCAGACACATAAGCGTGGGGAAGTTTGACACGTTTTCCACGTTCGAGGGCACTTTCGACGAGGAAACCGGGGTTGGTTACCTGGCTGGTATCGAGGAGGATTACACAGAGAGCTACGACAGACAAAACGACGGTTACGCGAGTATTCCGACCGCCATGGGACCCATGGTGGCCACGGGAGACACCGTGGAGAAGGCGAAGATCGCCAGCCAGGAGAGCATGGTGAGAGGAACTCACCGTTTATTATTTTACATTTGCGGTTACGAATGTTTTGTAAAATATATTAGTTGTCTTAGTATATCGTTCTATTCACGATAATTGCTAATCGACATTATCGTGCCAAATTAATTTGCAATTAACATCGTGATCTTGCGAGCCAGAATGATTCGACCTTGTTTTGCGTTTATATTTAATCACAGTTCCATGAAAGCACAAAACAATGATACCCGACGCGGAAGTTTATCAGCTTCCAAAAATACTCTCGTAATCAATCCCCAACATCTGTAATCAACTATAACAAGTTTTATTTTCGATTATTGATAAGACGTTCGTACATAAACTACGCTCCCAATATTTCAAACTGAATCGAATTTTTGAAATTCGATCAATTTTCCACTCGTGACAAATTTTATACGCAATTTTATTTTTAACTGAGCACTCTCGCGACTATCTTCGATTTCATTACTATTTATTAGCGTTACAATAGATCTTTGCATGACCAGTGGTTTCTCTTTCCACGACCTATCATCTATAATTTCTTCCACCTTATTGGTTTCAAACTATCATCACGTATTTACGCTTTGAAATTCTATAACTTCGTGTTAGGAAATAGACGTTGTGGTTCGATTATTGATCTACTACCACTTCGACTTCATGATCCTTGATACGAAGAAGTTTCGAGTTACATGACTTTGCGTGCTTTATCTCCGTCTCCCTTCTTGAGAAGTTTAATTGGAGCACGGCCGACGTCTCGAGATGAAAACGCGGGAAAACTTTGTCTGTCAGACGCTACTTGACCTGTCGAGCCTTTTTGCAGGTATTCACGATACAGTAGACTCTCGTTTTATTGTCTCCTGCACGGGAAATCGGACACCAAAGATGTCAACAACTTTCTTACACTTTGAGGCGAAATAACAAGAGTTCACTATAGCAGACATATCTTATCTTCTGCTGCAATATCATTTCTGTAAATATAATTTCCCAATGCATACAAATTCTTTCGTTCTTAAATTTCTGTTGTTGTCTAATGCATTTGGGTCATTATTGACCTGGCTACCCTTTCGAGGGTCAATGAATGTGTTTCTAGAAATTTGTGAAAGCATAAAATCTCCATGGGGTGCATGACAGAAATCACGTGCAGTTTTCTTTTGAAAGGAATGAAAACATATATGATTATTGACTTCTCATCTCTGACTGTAGATTGTTTAATTAATTTGTTGAGTGTTTGAACTAATACTTTGTTTAAGGTGCAACGCGACATATTGCACACGGATTAGATGCTATTAAATATGACACACCATGGCAACGTTAGACGATGCACTTCTGGCTGCTACTTTTATATCGCGTTATTATTACCTGGAGTTTATGGTTACGACTTTGCTCGATGCTTTCACCACACATATTCCGTATCATATTTCTTAGCACGATTTCATTCGTCTAAGATAGTGCATTTGACTAGGATATATTCTCCGAAACAGCAGGTAGAAAAATTGCACGAACTACCTGGGTAATCCTACTATCTGTTATTACTTTACCATCGTAAACTTTCCTCGCAATTTGTAAACCTGCGTGGAAAATTTTGAAGAGTATTTCTTTCTTTAGACAGGAACGAAAGAAACCTCAGAAGTTCGGGTCTATAACTTCGTACTTCGGAGAAGGTTCTCTTTAAAATGGGACACTATGTTTCTAAGTTAATAATTAAAGAGACTTACAACTGTAGCCATAGTCTTCATTTGGAATTTTGATCTTCACTCTCTCTAAAATAATTGAAAATAAGCTCAAAATGTTTTCAAATTAATAATTGAAGTAAAAGAATGAAAGAATTGTACACGTATGGTTAATAATTGCAAAATGAAGATAAATAAATAAGAAAATAAGCACTACTCTAATCCTCGACGTTCCGAAAACGTAGCCCAAAGAGTCGACGATCGAAGAGAAAACGAAAAAGAAGATCATTGGAAGGTTAAAGTTTGTGTTCCGCTTGGTAATTCGATGGCGGCAGTATTTAAAGAAGGCGATCAGGTTATTTAGGCGCATTGTCGAGCGACTGTTGTCGGTGAATCATTCACGTGGTGCAAGTCGTCCGGTTCGGAACGTTAGAAAATCGTCGCGACGCGTTAGTAAACACGTACGATGGGGGACCTAAAAATTTGTAAAAATTTGCAACCTCTTCATCTATCCAAATTGAAAGTGAACCCGAAAAAGTGGAGGTGGTTCAAGGTTCGTTAATTATCCTTTTTGAGATAAATGGCTTCCTTGGTAGCATGACACCGCATTTTTTTATCGTTCCAAAACTATAGTGACCTTTAGTGAAACTTTGACAACGTTATAGTTTCTTTGAATCTTTCATGCTTAGTACTTTGACCCCTGTGGAAGAAAGGAGTCTGGGAAAATAATTAAACTTGATGTGAAAATTGATGAAGAGCTTCAGACATTACATTATCAATATTTCGTGTAAATTTCAATATTGAGTGGAACTGTGTCAAGACCTAGACAATACAATTGCATAATAGAGATAAAAGGAGAAAGATCGAATAGTAAATGTTTCACCATCATACAGTAGCCAATGATTATTTAAACGACTCTTTAAATTATTTAACAGAATACGAAATTGTCTGTTCGAAAATAAATTATCAGTAGAAATTGGCAAACAATTTCATGGATAAATATTAATCAAATAATATTCTCTGTCTGTACAGTCGTCACAGAACAATGCACCGAATGCCGGAGTAGGCGAGAAACGAGAACACTTGTATAAAATCCTAGTAATCGGCGAGCTGGGTGCCGGAAAGACATCAATCATCAAGAGATACGTTCACCAATTCTTCTCCCAGCATTATCGCGCAACTATCGGTGTCGATTTCGCGCTCAAAGTGTTGAACTGGGACCCACACACCATTATAAGGCTGCAGCTATGGGATATCGCAGGTCAGTCGCTTACCGCCTCTTATTCTTCGGATTATTCTCTAATCGCGACACGTACTTCTTCATTTACGTATCACTTATAAATTATTGTTCATATGAATCGATTGAAAAACACATAAATTTTCAACTTATTAATTATAAAATTTATAAAGTCCCAACTCAGTGGTTCAGAATACTACTTTGGAATTTGACTTGATTTGGCGAATGACTAATTGAAAATGTGATTATAAATGAATAGGTCAAGAAAGGTTCGGGAACATGACCAGAGTGTACTACAAGGAAGCCGTAGGCGCTTTCATAGTGTTCGACGTAACGAGAAGCGCAACCCTCGACGCGGTGGTCAAATGGAAACAGGATTTGGACTCGAAAGTGCAGCTTCCTGACGGTTCACCGATTCCTTGCGTCCTCTTGGCTAACAAGTGCGACCAACAGAAAGAAGGCCTGGTGAACTCGCCCGCAAAAATGGACGAATACTGCAAGGAGAAAAACTTTGCCGGATGGTTCGAGACGTCTGCCAAGGAAAACATCAACATCGAAGAGGCGGCGCGATTTCTTGTCAATAAAGTGAGTAACCCTCATTCATTTTTATCTCATTCTTACAATATGAAGTGGATTCGTATTATTCTAAATTAATTTTTTACTCGTTCAAAGTTCACAACAGACACTTTGACAGACAAGTTAAAAGAGGGGTAGTTCCTTCTTGTACTTACATGTTATATTTCTAAAAAATTGATAACTTTATTTACGAAAATAATGTTAGGAAACCTTACAAAAATAATTGACAAGTGTGAAGAACGTGTTGAAAGAAAATCGAAGAATTGTTTTCGTCGGTCGAAATTGAGCGATTAACAACTACGCACAAGTTATTTGTGGAATATCGTTGCCCTCGAGATTAGCGATTCACTCATTCGGTTTATTGTATTCCATTTGTTTTACCGAGTTCTCCCGCTGTTCTATCAGTGACGTGCATCGCACCGAGGTAATCGTCTTACGGCGCATAGTTAATTGTCAGCAGACTAATTTGCTGCTTCGACCATCTGCACGTCACGACGATAGCGTCTTTCGTAAACGTCTCTGATAAATGCCAAGTAATTCCAGTCGCATTTGAACCTCTTATTTCTTAGAAATGTAACATACAGCTAATGATTAATATTAAACAAAATTTGCTATAATTTCTACATCTCTTTACAGATACTCCAAAACGATCAGTTGATGAAGGGAAACGGATCGCAGGACCAGACAGATGGGGAAAGATTCGCGTTGAACCAATCACCATCGAGCTCAAAGAAATCCTGCTCCTGCTGACGAATCGGTAAACCATCGATAGCAGGATCGATCGGTCCGTTATCGTCCTTTCGTTGCCGTATTGCCGTTCGGTGCCATGACACGAAAGTCACCTTCCATTTGGTCCACGTTGGCCGCCATGTCTCGTCCTCATGGAGAAACAACAGCAACAACTGCTTATCGAGCATACACCGCGATAACGACTGTTCATTGTCAAGCAACTAGCGTTTTACGATCGACTAGCTTCCTGAATGTTCTATCGACTCCTCGTCGGTCGTAATTTGTTCTTGTCGATTGTCGTTCCTATTCGTCCTTTGTACATACACGTGCTACCTGGCTCATACTTGTAAAGTACGGGGTAGCGATTTGAGATACTGAAGCTGAGGTAGAAGGGGAGAGAAACTTTTTTGACGAAAAATTTGTAAATTGTAAGATAGAGAGGAATTATCTAATGTAAGGAAATATGTTTTGTGTTAATTTTGTACTAAAGTAGTAGTGTATGTATGTCACCGGTAATCCTCTTTAAGGATCTATCGATCACGTATCAATCTATCTCGAACTCTACTAACGATCCATCTATCGATCAGTCATGCTGTCAGTCATCCATGTTAACAATGATCCACTCTACCAGTCATGTCGATAAATTACGCCGTCAATAACTTCATCTACCTATAATTAATGATCCCAACTCACGCTATACACACAAATAGTAAATTAAAAAGAATTGAAATATACAAATTGTGAATCTATCTTACTTCAGCGATCTCAAATGAATCTTTCCCCCGGACATTTTGTACTTATCACTTCCGGAAACGATGGAACGATAACGAATGGGAAGAACAAATGACGAGGAATAAGTACACGAAGATTTGAACGATAGTCGATCGAATTTAACCATCGTTCAAGACTTTTTGCCTTCGTTGAGATTATCACGACAGATTCGAATGATCCTTTGATGCCAGAAACGACACATTCCAGAAGTTGTTACGTTTTGCTATTTCTCTGCAGTATTTCACGCGAAACTGAGCTTCCAATGCAAACGGCATAGCTGCATTCTTGCCTGGCAGCGAAGAATTGAGGAGTGGAAATGAAAGCGGCAACACGGAAATTCTATGAAAGATATTTTTTTAATCAAGTATCGTCGGCAAGAAAATTCAAAAAATATTTCCACCCCTCAATCATATCAATGACTACGTGGTACGTGCAATCGAAAATATAAAACAGATTATTTGAACTTCTTTTTAAGCGCAATTCGAATCGAGGATGGATCATATTTTAACATTTTAATAAAAATTATAATGTCGATTATATCATTAGGTCGTTGCAAACTAAATGGTTGTTTTCTTTTTATATTTTTAAGTATATGATAAGTACACTGTAATACGCTAACGTAATAAAAATCAATAATTTTAATGACGTAAATTGTGATAAAAATAATTCGTGGTTGCCGTAAATTGTAATAATGGAAAACGAGTATTACAGTGACGAGTGTCGGTAAATATACTCCGCGTGGAATGTTGTATGTCACCCAAATTATGTTAATCTCTGTATAATTGAAAATTCGACGAGCAACAGCCTTGTATCTTTCTTTCACATTCCACGATACAATAGACACGGCTGTAAACTAATGTTAACTAATTTTAACCAAGACTACGTAAGAAAAAAGAAAAAAACAGCAAAGAGGTAGCTAACAGGTATCTGACTAACGATCGTACCTTTATTATTAATAAGTATAGTTATGTAATCGAGTGTCTGACGAACAGATCCGTAAAGACTGTTCAATAAAAATGGAAAAAAGTGTTTTTTATACGAAACTAACGCAATGATCAATGTTAAGCATATACTTACGAATAACAACGAACAAAGCTCAACGATTCACGTCTTTCGTTGATGTCCATTTTTACATCGTGAATTTTGAACACTTTGCGGTGCCACGTGTTCACATGTTTTCGATACGGAATACTTTTCTTCGTGCGTATTATGTATATTCTATTTATAAATATATACATATAAGAAGCATGTTATATAATATAATTTATAGTAAATCAAATTGAGATTTAATATAACGTTCAGTTGTGTCAAGCATTCTATTCGAGTGTCCATTTCTTCGACATATCATTCGATATCCTATCTTTCGACTATTCGCGTTAATTTTAATAATTCGATAGAAAATGATATTAATTAAAATCGCAAGACGTTTCATTCGAAACCATTGTTTTCGATTACAAAGGCATTGTCATTTAATGATGTCAGAACGAACAGGACACGATTGTCCTTAGAGGATCACGCGAATTCCACTTTCACATCCTACAGAACTGACGCAATTGATGAAACCTTTCGTTTATTCGACTCGACCTTAACCATTTCCGTTTCTCTCTCTTCTTCGTGCTCGCCTAACTTTCTAAAGTTTTTCTGCTAAAACAGTCATTCTTGAACATGTTTTTGTAGGGAACACATTTATTCAGAATGACATTTTTACATTGTAATAAAGATGACTCATTTTGTAGAGGTAGATACTTTCGTATTTTTGAGAAACAAATCTTCGTCCATTAATAACTATAGTCGTACGTTGTAACGAGTACTCTATAAACAAGATGCGTGATAAGAAAATTCGAAACCTTAGGAAGATTCTATCGTAGAAAATTCGCAGAGCGTTTCAGGTCAACGAGGCAATTACCGAGACTTCATTAAAATCGGAGCATGTTTATCGTCTTTGTCTGCGCAACGGTGTCATTACCTCGGATTTAGAGGAGCCTTCAAGATACAGTTCGCTCTTCATCGCGAAGAGCATTATGTAGATAACATTGATAAGTGTCGCGAAGTAATGAGTTCTTATGCGACTTCGCGGCATCTCGTAGTCCAGTAAAATGGGTGATCCCGAGGAGTTCCACGAAACCACGATCCTGTGGGATAATTTAACGGTGATCGTATCTCCGAAACGCGGATTATTGCGGAAGATTTATCGAAGATTTGCTACGAGTCCGTTCGAGGAATCGTTAACGATACTGAAAGGAGGTGTGCACGTGATTCAAATTCGAAAATTTTCAACTCGGCTAAATGAATTTTTTGCTTGTGTAAAAAGTGAATCGTGTATATTAGTTAAGGCGTAGCGAAAAAATAAATTAAGCTCTGTCTCAAGCCATTTTTCTTAATCAGTTCTATGTTTCTAAAATAGCAAATGATTGCAGTGTCTGGTTGTGCAGTGACGGGGAACCTTATTGCGATAATGGGACATAGGTATACGAAGAGTCTGATTATGTTTTAAATATTTTAATTTGAAAAGAGCAGTAGATTATATTGATCTATAGAACCAAAAAAATATTAAAATTCTTTAAACTTTCTCCAAAAAATTGCATTCCAGTGGTGCCGGTAAAACAACTTTCTTGACCACCCTCGCCGGAAGGGTTGCACCGACGCTGGGCTCGATAAAAATAAACGGCGAGGTTGTCCCGCGAGAAATTCTGTCCAAAATATCCGGCTATTTGCCTCAATTCGATGCATTGCCGACATATCTCACCGTCGAGGAACATTTACTGTTCACGGTATTTCGTTTGTCTACCTTCAACATACTGCGTGTTAACGCGTTTAAAGCACTTGAGGGTTCGTTTAGCACGCCCTGAAGACGGACCACGATTCGAAACAGAGGAAATGTCAAATATTGAAACTATTATTCGATCTGGGTCTGATCGATTGTAAGGATACGTTGATATCGAGATTATCTGGTGGTCAAAGGAAACGAGTTTCCCTGGCTAGCGAATTAATCACTAAACCGAAGATACTTTTTCTGGATGAACCGACAACTGGTAAGAAAAGAATTTCAAGTCGTAATTAAAACTGCAACCTTCTGAATCTGAGGATCATGTCACAGTTTCAGTGCTTAATTTTGTATAGTAAAATTTATTCGATATTTTGAGTTTGTAAATCTTAGGCTTGGACACGTTCTCTGCGATGCAAGTCGTGCAGACGCTCAGAGGAACGAGTTTAGGTACGATCATCTTTTGTACGATACATCAACCTTGTATGGACGTGTACAATCTTTTCACTCGGGTTTTACTAATGTCCGATGGAAGGACAGCTTATTACGGAACTATCGATGACGCTACCAACTTTTTCTCCAGGTGAATTTCATTTCACTTTAATTCTATTTGCAGAAGCTGTTCTGCTGTTCACATAAGGTACATGACTAATTATGAAAAATTTCAAAAATTCTCTGCAAAATCAATACCTATCGTCTTCCAAAAATAAAGATCTGAAGTTTCTAACAAACTTAGCCTAGGTTACGAGTGTCCGATCGGCTTCGCCGAGTCCGAATACTACATCAAATTACTATCACCTAAATATCCTGACACCTCATCGATCGATTCCACCCGCGACGAATCCAAAGAATGCATCGATAAAATATGTCGAGCATTTCTGCAGTCTTCCTCAGAAATATTTCCAAGAATCACAAGTACGACACACCTTGAAATCGAACCTCAAAGGTAATCAAAAATTTCCTAAGAGAATCTATACAACAAGATACCTGAAAAATGCAGGCATTGATAATTTATAGAAAAGCTGGTTATGTCGCGCAGTTTTATTGGTTAAGCTGGAGAATATGGATCGAAAATCTAAGGACAATTTTCTCGGACTGGTTTTCGTGGCTGTGCTATTTTGTGAGCTACAAAATTATATTTGTTTAACATAGTCTTTGTATACCGTGCTTCGCTTGATCCTCTTGTTTGAACTTTGATAACATTTTGAAGACAAGTGTGGTAATAATTTGCTGATAACAGTACAATTTGAATAAATTACAGTTGTCGATGATGATGGTGGTGACTTTTTACATCGGGACTAATCCACGCACCCAAGAGGGTGTGCAAAACGCACGGGGTGCATTGTACATGATGAGTTCCGAAATTTCTTTCGCTGTAGCTTATTCGGTGCTGTATGAACTTCCTGGACAACTCTTAATTTTTCAACGGGAGAACGGCGTTTACGATACGGGCCCCTTTTACTTCTCTACCTTCCTTTCACAGGTAATTAAAGTCAACTACTGAAGTAGTAAGTCGATGTGAATGTGGTTGCAAAATTTTAATCTCGATGATCTTCCTGAATTGCTTTATTACTTTCTTTATCAGTGAGAACAGAGCCGTATTCAAATAACCTTATTTCCAAGATAAAAATTTGCAGTAGCTCGAAACATAATTAAATTTTATGCAAAATTTCAAAACTCGAACATTAGAAGTTTATGCAAAAAAAGGCTATGTCCCGAGTGTATGTTCCAGATACCAAAGGCAATTCTGAAGGCGTTCATATTCACAACAGTGATGTTTCTGATACTAATCACTCCCCTGGAGTTTGTAAACTTTTTGTTTTATTGCCTGGCTACATCAGTGGCCGCGATTTGTGGCATATCGTACGGTTTGGTATTTTCTAGCTGGTTCGACGACGTGGACGTAGTCACATCCATCATGGTGCCTATCGATATGATGTTCCTATTGACCGCTGGAATGTTTTATAATCTCAGGTAGCGTGCATATTGTAAAGAAATTTTGTTGTCCTATTTTTACGAGCATAATATTTCTATCAGTATTTTGATTAAATGGCGAAACGCGAAAATATAACACTGATTTATACCACCGTTTCGTGCGAGCAGCGTTCGTGATTTAAAAACGAAACTAAATGTTACACGTTTCAATTAAACGTAAAGTATGATAAATTATATTTAAGCTGGATGGAAATGGTAAAAAATGGAATAAGTTCGGGGAAATAAAATATTGAATTTGTTTATGGTGTAATATTTCTTTTCTAACTAGACAGGCTGCGAGTATATCAGGCTATTGTTGATGTTTCCAGGTCGCTGCCCACGTATCTGACGTGTTTCAAATATTTCTCGATGTTCTTTTACCTGAACGAAGCTCTTTCTATAATTTATTGGTCGCGTGTGGACGACATCGGTGAGCATATTTCTGCTATGAATAAATTATGAAAATTCCCTACGACTTCTTGGTGTATCGTGAACCAGTAGTAAATATTTCCAACAAGTTGGAAAGGAGGTTTCCTCCTCATGAATTTCTAACCCCACTAAAATAATCACGGAAAATTAATTTCACTTTTCAAGAGGGTACTTTTTATTTCAGAATGTCAATCATCCAGCGATTTGCCCTGTTTTCGAAATGGAACAGAAGTCATGTTAGAGTACGGTTTCGGAAACTCCAGCTACTGGTGGGATTTAATTGGTCTCGCAGTTTTAACAATTTTCTTGTATCTCGTTGGATATCTCGGTTTACGCAGAAGAAGAAAAGTTGGAGCGTTTTGAATATTTATAACAAATACATTAAATTCCCTCAATGTTTATTCCAAACGATAACAAAATAATTTATAGATACTGTACACTTAGTCTAATAATCTTAATGATATGAACACCAGCAATAAAGCAGTTAACGAGATCGATCTTATCGATTAATATTGTATATGTTAATAAATAAGAATAGTATCGTACGAAATAAATTGTGCATTTTTCGTGAAGACCCATAAAATTAATAGACAGGCTCCTGACGACTCCTGTATCTGATCACCAAAAAACCAGCCAGGTGGCTGAAGGAATATATTACCATAAGACCGATTAGGTCCATGGCGTAGTGGTTTGGTAAGTAGCCGTATTTCTCCAGAACACCCATTCCGCTGGATATGCAAGGCTCTTCTGGATCTGGAGAGCAATCTTTGGACATAAGAAACGACTTATAAATTTAGACTTCTATAATGATGCTTCTATAAGTGAACTATTGTTATAAAGTACTTATGTGATCGATGAATAGCCACTGCGTTAAAGAGACTGCCTCCAGACCGTAATAAAACTGTGATAAATATTTTAGCCAGGCTATACCAGGTGCTAAATGCCTAAAAGTAAATTTCCTATTTAAAGAAGTACATGTCCTAAATGACACCAGACTATTTTAATTGTTCTCACCCAAGATGCAAGTAGATACCACAAAACATAAGTCCAAGAAAATCCAGCGGCACAGAAAACAAGGAAGCAGTGTCCACCGATTGGAAAGACGCTGATAAGAAACAACCTGTTTGAAAGATTTCGCTCTTATCAGATGTTAATTTGCAAAATATTGCTATTGATTTTAACAAAAAATGTTGAAATATGTAAGAGGAAAATTTCACGATCCTTCCATCGTGTTCTCACCCAGAGCGGAAGCGGAGATGGCACAGATTACTACTGGCAGTGCAAAGTAGACGAATCCTAAAAATCCACCCTTCAGTCCAGTGATCGAAAATATAAATCCCGAGTAGAGCAACGGTTGCACTATAGCACCCGGTAGCTGAAAATTGTCACAAATCCAACGTCAAATTGAAATATTAAGAAATGATTACTCGGATAGATAAGTTGCATCGATGACAAACGATTAATCATCGATTATTAATGGTTCGGTAACTTACCAGAACGACAACCTTGCTGATGTAGTACGGTGTCGGGCCATAAAGCCCACTGGCGATATCGCGTAGCAAAAGTGGCAATTCACTTGGAAACGTATAGAAAACAGCATAGTTAAAAGTGAAAACCGTCTCTACGACGACTAGGTACAAAAGACCTTGCATGTTCTGTATGGAGCCTTGATTCATCGGTTTTCCTGTCACGTCCACGTAAGGAGATGCTATCAGCAGCCCTATGAACTTTAAATATGCATTCTTTATTGATTTTTGGACTCGGGAAAATTTGTGAACGTTCTTTAAATTAGACCACAGGATTTGAAAGTTTTCAGAAGTCTGAAAATTTTCAATTTCGCAAGATTCCTAAAAGCTCAAAGCAGTAGATATCCTTGGTAAATTTTAATTAAAATTCAGCCGAATGATTTAATCCTATTTACGAAACCTCTGCGCTCTCTCAATTCCTGTAATCCGCAACAAACAACGTTCAACAAGGTACGAAGCCGAAAATAAATGGAATCCAGCAATCGAGAAGTTGCTCGAGCAGCAAATGAAGGCAAACAAAAAAGAAGCAACAGAGCCCGGAGTTCAAAGGGAAAGGATAGCGAAAATCGATATCTCACCATGTAAGTTATAAATCGCAAAAAAATGGAGGCGGAGTTTCTCTTGTAATCGACGTACGTTCGCCACGTTAGCCAGCGTAATTGCGTGAATCCACGGGCTTTCTTGTAATTTCGTGGGGTCAAAGAGACATCGGAGAAGATGGACGGAAGCTCGTTATTGTCCGACGTGCTGGCGCAAGAATATTCGATCAATTTCGATACTCTTTGACCGTACTTGGACTTTTGATATTGGTCGCAAATCCAATTTACCTACGAACAATCATCGCGTTCTTACCGAACCTTTATATTTTTCTTCCCTTCGTATTTCTACCTTCTGATAACTTTCCGCTTCTCTACCGCGAACGATCGACAACTGAGACACGTAGAATTCGGCGCTGTTGAAAGTCGGAGGACAACGGAGCTCCAAACTGAAATGATTTTTAAACTTTTCAAACACCTTCCTAATTTTTTATCTCCTTGATGTTTTTGAAAAGAATTCTCAGCTTTAACAGCTCGATCGTTGCAGATTTAAATAAAAATAAAACTGCATACGACACTTTAGGAGATACAAATTGATATTTTTATCGCGATTTTCCTGAAAATGCCACATTTTACACATTCTTATCAGTTCTACCACAAATATTCCACAGAATTTTATCTGGTTGGTTTCTGTAGAAATATTTCTTCTTCACGTCGAATATTTCATCCTTTGAGGCAGTGCGCGATACGCTGGATCAAAAGTGATCCAAAAATGGATAACTCGCGTATTTTCGAGAAAGCCACGTCGCCCAGAAACGTCGGGTATCTGATTTTCGCAAAGAGTCACGTCACCAAAATATTGCTGAAACCGAGAATCCTTTTAGCAGGGCTCGATTTCCGTGTCAGATAAAACAGACGTAAAAAAAATCTTTGCCCTACGTCCGATCGGAACTTTCACCAAAATGAGCACGCTATTAAACTTTATACCGATATAACTTCATTGCACTTCATTTTTCAGTCGGTTACAACTTTGCTTTAGCGAAAGAATTTGATGTTTAAAGATTATTTATGTGAAGACAGAAAATGATTACCGATAAAAATGTGGATCGTATATGCATGATAATAAAATTCAATAATTAATTCTTTAAATGTATAATGTAATTTGTAAAACGTACACTTGTACTCTAAATTGTTTGCAAACGACAACGAGTATAATCGAGGTGGTTAAAGACTGCAGGCTGAGAAACTATGAACCCAGGTATTTTGCGATAAAATGTTCTTTCGTACCTGTCGAAAAATTCCGTAGCGTCGAGGGAGGAGCCCTGAAAGGCGACTCTGCCGCTAGAAAGTAGAAGAACCTCGTGAAAAATTTCCAACAGACCGGAAGCCGGTTGATGCACGGAGCAGATGACGATTCTTCCGCTAGCGGCAACCTCCCTTAGCGTTCTTGCCACCGTCATCGCGCCGTAACTATCCAACCCCGTGGTTGGCTCGTCGCAAAACAGTATACTCGGTTCGGTCAGTAGCTGCAAAAATTCTCTGCCTTATGAATTCTATTTCTTACCTAGCAAATTGCCAGACAAAATTGTCCTGCAACCCCCGACACAAAAATTGCGTGGTAATTATAAGCATAATATGGTACGAAAATAGTATAAGAGGAGTAGTGGTGTAATAAAGAAAATAATAAAAATTAAATCAAATCTCTACCTGTAGTATTTACCGAATAATCTACCGTAATCTAACGTTTGATTAATTATCAGCGAGGTATCGAATGAATCGAACGGAATCGATGATTAATTTCCAGCAGTGACGCAGAGTCATAAATTAAACGAAATCGATGCGAATTGGATAAAAGTGAAATACAGTGAAATTTCGAAGCTTACTTGAACAGCTAAAGTGACCCTCTTCCTCTCGCCGCCGGACAAAGAGGAAAGCTTAGAGTTCCCACATTTTCCCAGACCGAGTTCTCCCAGCAAAACCATTATACGTTGCCTTCTGACGTTCGCCCGAAGCCTCCTGTCCATTTTCATGCACGCCTTGATCAACGGAGAACAATCACGAAGTTTTAATGGCCACGAAACCCAATCATTGTCGAACGTTAACCGAATTAAGTCGACGGCGACGGTATGAATTGATAAAACGTCGAGCTGCGATACACGTTCAATTTTATTCGACGGAAGCGTAAAATAAGCGTGTCCTATCGAACGAACAATTAAAAGAAACTTCTGAGACTCGGTTGAACTTTGACAATAACTCCGCTTTCGTTTGAAATTTTTAATTAGATTTATCTGTCGATTCTTCGATATAGATAGCGGATGAAAATCTATGAATAGCAGTTGAGACAGCTCTCGTCAAATAAAGACACCTCTGTCTCGACTGAGAAAACTCGTACATCAAGTTTAATCGCTACATTCGCGCGTACAGGGCGTTTATCAATGAAATATCAATCAGCAGTTCTTTATCGAATCTAAATGCAAGTGTGCTAAGCCAACCGCGAACTACAACGATCGTTTAAAACCGCTAACTGGCCATGCACATAGTATCTCGAGTGATTATTCGATTCAGCGTACCGTGAAGCATGGAACGTGTTATCCACGACTCGATCGTGATCTTTCAGATTGATCGATGGTAAACGATTACACGAATAACTCAGTTACCACATTTTTCATCCGACAAACCATAAATTCCATGTGTTCCAGGACAGTCAACGATTCGATAGCCAAGTCCGTCTGCGGAACGAATCCTGATATCCTTATCATCTGGCCGGTGTCTATAGGCTTCCCGTTTAATAAAATCTCACCCGTGGCTTGACCTATCGAAAAATAAATTCGATCGTTCTCTTCTTTCATTGATCTTAGGTTAATTAAAAATCTGTATAATTTTTCTATTTATTCTTAAGTCGTAAATGTGAACTACGTTTTCGCTGAAAAGAAACAGCTTTGAAGGAACAAAAGAAAAGAATAAAGAGTCGGCGAAGAAGAAAAAGTATATAAACCTTTAACGCGTCGACTGATCGTAGCGAGCAAGGTAGTTTTCCCAGCACCGCTGCAAAACGAAAACATTTCTTTCAGTCAAGGAGAAACTTTTCCCACCCTTTTCATTCTTGAAGAACAATTAACCCTGGAATACTAGACGCTTGTAATTTTCACAGCTGAACATCCAGTTTTATCTCCGCTCCGTGCGAATTCTGATATTAAACGGATGAGTTAACTCTTTCTCTTATAAATGGAGATTAAAAGGAACAGCACATAAATGGAATATCGTCCATTTTACTTCTCAACGAAATACAACTGATTACCAACGAAATATTTTCTCAAATTATGACGTTTGCGAAATAATTACCTTGGTCCCAGAATAGCCATCAACATTCCGGAATTAACTATACCGCTAACTAGAAGTAAAACAGAATCGATCAGAGTTCTTACTTTATATATCTGAATTCGATAGCAGAAAATATACCTCCGTTAAGTAAGGTAACGAATTCAGTGTGTTGCAAACCGAAAATCGCCCTGAAGCTACCTCCATTTCTCCGTCTTTCAACCGTGTAAGAAATATTTTTCCAAGTCAAACACAAATCCTTTGGCAAGCTCGCCGGTAGCGAGGGATACTTCACGCTGTGTTTCATCTGGAAATAATTTATTTTATCCGCTAAACTGCTATGAACTTTCTCTTCTTTTCATTATTTTTCAAAACGCTGTTGCATTCGCCGCTGCGCTCTTTCTTTCGATAATCCCTCCAAGACTTTTATTCCATACTAGTTTACTAACAACATTCGTAATCAATGATTCAGTGACTGTATTTCTGTCCAGATATGTATTTATACTTTCAAAGATATCTATAACCCACTGCGACTACCTATTGCATTAACATTTTCAGTTACATATCTCTGCGGGTTCCTAATGTTCGCGTATATTTCGAGATATCTACGCAATCAGGCACTTGCATTACCAGGTATCTCTAATTACCTATATACCCAGGTTTCTATATTCCTAAATCTTTACATTGCAATATTGTTATTCGATCTAGTACTATTTCTTTATAATTAATAGAAAAATTAGGAATACAAGTATTTCATATAATATTAAAGGGATCGAACGATTGATAACGTGGCTGAAAGTTGAAATACAACTTTCGTATTTAAAAAATGAATTGCTGAATACACGTCCCGAATTATGAGACGCGGCAAATTTTTTATTTCTAGACAAATAAACAGGAAAAGTAGTCGAAGAGTCTATCAGGGTAATTATCAAAGAATTCTTATAATACCGATAAACAAAAGCCCTTCCCGCATTACCAGGATATTTGTGTCGGTAGGTCAGGTACTATTATATAAAGTACAGGTCCGGCTCACGGCATAATGGAACTGTTTATATAAGCTATTTCTATGCAATCAATCTTGACTCGAATAATTAACCCTTCTTCGAATTTCTGTGTTTAGTCGCATCGTTGTATTCCAGCCGAATATCTTTGTGCGATAATCGAGGATTTATTCGAGAGCAGAGTTCGCGGGGGTTCGAAAAGAATTATGTCAACGAAAGCACACCGCAACGAAATGTCGCGAGACCTATATTCGAATAGACCACAAGCCTTCGAAAGCAAAAAAATGTCCGATCACTTTTCCCGCAAGGGGAACCTTCGTTACGAAAACTGAGACCTAACCGCAAATCTACGATCAAGCTCATTCACAATACTAATTGGATACTAAATCTTGTTGTATCGGAACAAGAACGCAGCGGTGATCCTCATTATCTTACACTCCATAACACTTACTTCCCTGTTTACAGCATCGGGACCGTAGAAGATCATCCTAACGCACTCACAAAATCACGAATAAGTCAACCTGTATGAAACAACTACGACTCCGACCATAAAACGTTCAGGGAAAACAACCAAAGCAAAGACTATGATCTGCCAAAAGAATCTACTCGAACCTCGACAATGCCCATACACGTAATTTTAGTTACGCAATTCTGTAGAAGCTGGCAGAATCGAGTGATCGACAACACCGGTCGGGTTGTTCTAACAACGCGAGTTCTCGATTCACTGGATAGGTGGTGTCCGCTTGTTCGAATGACTGGTAGAACGAGAGTCCGGTCACTTATGGTGTTTCCATATCACGATTAGTAAGTACACGGGACTGGATATGTTATGGTAACCGGAGGCAAATGTCGTTCACAACGATACACCATCGCGAGCGGTTTTGCGGAGGATGAAGCGACCGTGTGTCTTATATGCAACGAGAAGTCGTTACACAACGAGACCGCGAACACGACGAACGCGCTCGCCGCTGCAAGGATTACGGAATAACGCTTCGATGCATACCGATGCGGATTTGAAGATGTTCGAAGACTCGTACAGGTTGCTTTTAAGTAGCTTATGCCATGTACAGGGTGCTCGCGAAATAAACACCTGGGGTATTTCAGAAATACTCCAATTTTTTTATCTACAGATTTGCAAATTGCCGACTCTTAAATTTGTTACTCCCAGAAGTTCTGAAAGTAATTTCCTAAATTACCAAACTTAAAATTCTTGAATTTCCAAAAGCCCAGAAATTAAGAGCGAGGAAGCGCATAATTGAATGATGCTGGTTGATACGAAGGGATAAAACGATGGAAATATTGGAATCGGCGCAATATGATTCCACGACGGATCGCGAAATGAAACGAAACAATGTTTGCGTTGCGCGGAACGTTCCGCTTCTCGCTTTTCCTTCTCTCCGTCTCTGTCGATCTTTTTCGCTCACCCCATTTCGGTCTCTCCTCTTCTCAGTCCCACCTGCTACCGTTTCTCTCAGCCTAGCTGGGAATCGAGGATTTGTTAATATCGAGCGCCTAGCTAGTACCGTGCCAAAATGGCCGACGTTTAGTCGTCCCTTAGTTCCGATTTAGCTGAACGCGTCGCGACGCCTGCTCTCATCGACCACCTCCGATCTTTCATTCTCCAAATCGTTCTCCGAATCGATCTTCGTTAGTATCCACCAGGGAAATATAGTGCGAGAAGTGACAACACAAATATTTACATAATCCATTTCGATAATTACTACTAAGAGTCTGGGTTATAGTAAGAGGAAAATAGAAATGGAATGCTCGCTTAAACGGAATAGCGAAATAGTAAGATGGGAGTGTAGTAGTATAGATACAGCCTATACCATGGTCTAGAGTCTAAGTGCATAGCAGTATGGCGGTATGGTAAATAAGTTAAATAGAAGCGATAGATACGGTGCAGAAGTGAAATATTAAAACAAGTGGAACAGTGGGAAGTGAAAGAACTAATCTAGCAAAATGAAGAATGATGAATTTTGAATGCCGCGTGCGATCTCGCGTCGTCGTCGAAACATCTGACTGTTTTAAACCGACGATTAAACAAGTAAACGTGACACGAGAACGAGAAGGAAAAAAACATTAACTAATCGCGACGCGAACGACACGCGAGCGTACCGTGATCGCAGGCGTTAAGTCGAAATTAATTAAAACGAGCGTCGAACCTTCAAGAATTTTAATCAACGAAAGAACCACGTTCGAAGTCGTGGTCGTAAGAAGAATGTCTTCGAACACCGCCACGACCGTGTTGCTGAAGAAGAGAGAGAGAACACAGAATTGGGTCCCGGAGGAAAAGAACGCATTGTTCTCGTTGATCAAAAGCCACGTTAACGCGATCGAGAACAAGAAAATCGATGCGGCGGCATCGGCTATGAAAACTCTCGCTTGGCAACAGATTTATTGCGCTTTTCGAGGCAGATTTTCTACCGACAGGGACATTACCAGAATGAGAGAACAATGGAGGAGGATGAAAGCTCAAGCGAGGATGGAGATGTACACGTTCGCGGAGAAGGTTAACCGATTTTTCAATTAACGTATCGATCGAAATTTCGGATACAGTAGACTCTCGTTATATCGCCTCTCCGTACAAACTTTCGAGATCCTCGGATCCTGATATAACGAGAGTCTACTGTATATAGTTTCGATACCAACCGACTAAAGTTTGCAACATAATTTGATCGGACAACGATACATTTTTGGCGGGAAATATGAAAATTAAACGCATCGAAAGTTTCGAGAGTCAAGATATGCGAGCGAATAGGAATGTAAATTTTGTTGTTCTTGACCCTTGAGCGCTTCCAGAGTAACGAGATTGAATGTAAAAGTTGCCAAAGAGTTTTTGAGGGTAACCGAAGTCTAACCGAGGTTCGAGTAAACCGAAGTTTTCTACATTTTCGTTGTTACTCGAGGCTGTTTTGTAAACACTATCAGCGAAAGATTGATAGGCAGAAAAGCTTCGAGAAACTTAAATGAATATTAATGTTTGAAGTATACACTGTGGACATTATGTAACGAACGGATAAAGAATTATTTATATAAACTCGAAAATATTATTTATGGCAACTGAACAGATTGCATCAAATAACACTTCCAAGATCGCGTTCGAAAATTTTATCAATATTTTTTGTAAAAATTTTTGGATGTTACTATAAGAAATCTTCTAAATAATTGTAACAGATGGTAACAACCTTAGAGTCAAAATTAGAATATGTTCCGAAAGCATCGTTGAAATCGATCGCGTCTATTCTCGTGGCAAACTAACGCGAACGAAAATACACGCGTAGGTGAGGACCCTGGGCCCTGAGGAAGCTGCCAAATGTCGTCCGTCGAATCTTTCGATCGAGGTATGGAGATTAATGGAGAAGGCGAGAAAAAACGAGGGGGACGAGGAACGTTCGGACGAGAACAGCCAGGAAGACCCGGATAATCCGGTGAATCTGCAGATGATCCTGAACAAACTAACTGCATCCACGCCGGAAGTGATGGTCAATGAAATTAAAGTCGAGGCGGACAGTGACGACTACAACACGGAAGAGGAGAACGGCCAAGGAGAAGTTTTCGCGAAAAAGTCGGACACGTTCAGGAAAAAACGAGCACGGATATCCGAGGACGAACCAGTGGATCTGGACGAACAGAGAGTGCACTCTGTGGATGCCATTGCTCGACAATTCGATAATGGTAGCTTTGAAATTACCTCGAGTAACATTTTTTAAAAAACGAAGAAACCTTTGAGGAACGCGCGTTCTAAAGCTGTTACTATACGATACAGGGTGTCCCTTAACCGTACCTTCCATTATTTTTTTACTTCCAAAAACATAGGAATTCCAAGAGGAAGTGGATAGATTTCTTTAAACAAATTAGCCTCTTTTGGAACATCCTATATACATTCCATAATTCACCAAAATTCTTTTCGGATACTAGAGAAATGTATTTCTTTCGTTAAAGTATTTATAGTCTATTTCATATGTGGTCTTAAGTAATTTGCTTGAAACGAATGAGTCTTTTCTTGACGTCAAAATTGATTAGCACACCCTGTATGTCATTCTGACGATAGCTTGTAAAGCGCTAATTGGAGTACCATTTTGTTTATTTTTGAGCTGAAGAAACGATATCCAATACGAGGGAAAGGAACGATCGAGTCAATAATGATCAAGATGAGTCCACTCAAAGGGCAATATGGATGGTCGAGTTAGCTCAAAGAGAACACGAGCTCAAATTGCGAATGTTGAACATCGAATTGGAGCGAGCCGAGTTGCAAAAGCAGACTGCGATTAATGAATTGAAAACCTCGGAAATTAAAAGGCAACTGATCGAGAATCAAGCAGCTGAATACTACAGGTTATATACATTCTCTTTAATATGTTATCTGTTCTTTTCTTAAAAAAATACTGTCTTAGAAATAATATAATTTTGATCTCTGAGAATTAACGGGTTAAACATCGTAGCTTTAAGTTCCAGTGATATTAAATTACTGGGGAAAATATTAATTTCGCGAATTCGGTATGAAAATTGAATTGATATTGCCGCGAAATCAGCGCCGAGGGTGGTCGGTCTGCGAAACGTCTGCTGGAATAAGTAAAGACGTATCCGTCTCTTTCTAATACTAGTGTATGGTTTCCATTGGAATCCTCAGTAACTACTGTACTTTGAATTTTCCACATCGAGAACAATGCAGCGAATTATTGTTACGTTTTCTCGGAATATGGCTTCGTTCAGGTACAAAAGAATGTTTTGCATCGAATGACTAATGCAAAACTATATAGATTTTCTTTTCTACGTAGTTAAATTCGGCTTCAAGTCTTGTACAGTCTTTGCACACGACGTAATTAAAAGCAACATTTATCTCGTTCTGATTTCGTTTTCTTTATATTTCTTAGTACGTGAAATAAACATCTCTGTGATTAATTTAAAGCAGTTCTTTCATAAAAAAATTACAAGGTGCGTTATTGAATTCTGACTGTATGTGGCAGAATTATGTAATAGTCATAGGTAACCATTAATGTAGAAAATCATTTATATGGTTTTCATTCAGTTTCTTACTAATCATAGTATTTACAGTTTAAATTTACAGTGTTCCAAATCCCATTGACTAGTTATTCGATGCTTGGGTGATATAAATGGACACCAAGTATTTTTAACACCTCTACTGCGCATCTGCTTTTTTCTTGGCAGCATAAAACATTGTAAGACACCGATTAAGATGAACATTTTATCATTGCAGCCAAGTGAGAATGGTTGGTGAACGAGGATCAGGTGCTGGTCAAGGTGGAGGTGGCGGTGGTGCCATTCGAGATGCTGGAGGATCTTTTGGCAAAATGGAAGCTGCCCATGAAGACCAGTATTTTTATAATCAAGTTAGTTAAAAGACCCATATAAATAAAATAATTGATAAAAGAAATCTACATGAAAATTTGCTACTTTTAGGATAAGGCAAAGCTTCAGAAACTGAAAGAGGATCTTCATGACGAGATCTCTTTCCACGAAGAACAAATTAAACGCCATCAAGAAGCTATTAGCCGTCACAAAAAAAGAATTACAGACATGGATAATCATTAAGACACTTTTCCTGCTGATATTCCTAATTTTCTAAGTGTGAAGTTGTTCTTTATAATAACTATTATATACTATGGATAGTAATAATAGTAGAACATCATGTGTATCATTTTTTTTCACTGCAAAAGATTATATATATATATAAATAGGAAGAAATGCATTAAATAAAAAACTGCTAAACTGTTTATTTTCTTGTACTTAAAGTAACAATGTTAATTCATATAATTTAGGTTACATGATCAAAATAAAATGTAGCTAACTTGATTATTTTTTTATGATATTTGTGTTCAAATGTTTCACTGTTCATGACAGACTTCAGCAAAATTTGTAAGTTCAATTTCGTGAATAAATTCTTTCGTATAAAATTAATGATTTTTCAAATTGTTGGAGATAATGTTACGACAGATTCTACGTACGTTATCGTGCGAAAGTAGTAGGTAAATATCGTGCTTCGATGATTAATTAAAAACTACTATTAACTTTATTCTTTTTGGTTATAATTTTCCAAAAATAATAATTATAAAACATTAATTGTTTCTCTGTAGTTGCAAGTATCTTAAGAAAAAATATAGTGATTCCAATGAACATAAAACGCCGAAGAACACTATCGCGTTCGAAGCCGAATATTTTTACAAACAGGTAATAATAAAATAAAAAGTTTTCCAAGTCACACAAAACGTTCGTGTATTACAGGATAAAGAATTGTTGGAAATGTTAAAACAAAAATTACAGGAAGAGGTTAAATGCATGCAGGATGAGGTCACAACGATGCGTAATAAAATTAATGATCACAATCGTACGATAAATGACAATTTACGGTTTTTAAAAGATCTCGAAAAAAATGTGTCAGCTAGTGATAAAAAATAATCTGAATATTGTTCACGACTGTAATTTTTTAAATATTTCATACTTGTTATTTCTTTAAGTATGTAGAACAATTTCTTTTTAGACATTTGTTTAACAATATTTGATAAACGCGAAATATCTTTTATTACAAATCATAATTCTGTATTGTAACATTGAAAACTGATGATAAATAAAATAGAGAATTAGTATTTATTTCATAATTTAAAAGTTGCAATTACAAATTCTATTTATTTGCTAAAGACATGCATTATGGGACACATAACATACCGTACCGGCGTTCTCCTTGAATATCGTTTTCGCGCCATTTCTCTGCTATGGACTCCATTTTGTTCAATTTTCTGGCGGGCTTGGCAAGCACTGCAAACACAATGAATTTGATTGTTATATTACTTTGTGTAATTCTTTTGATGATATTTTCAAAAATATTTTAATAGTAGTCAAGTATGAGCTTTAAAAAAGAGAAAACTCTTAAACAGTTTACGAATCGTAAATTATTTAAAGTGAATGTCTGTGAAATCTTTATAAGGCATAAATTACTAATATTTTATCATTATTTTATAATTATTTTGTGTAAATTTAATGTACCTGTAATTCTAATGATTTTAATCTTCATCCAAAATAAAGTTTCACTACAGGATTCTACAGCGTCAGTACACCAATTGTAAATTGTCGAAAATTGATTAAAATCGCGTTAGTTTTAAACAATTCTAGTCACGCACTAGTACTTAAATACTATTTAAACCACGGTATAATCAACCGAGTTCCAAGAGTAAAACAAATGAATTTTTATTAAAAATTCGTACGACCGATTAAAATTACTGACAGCGCGTCCCGATACTGCTTCAAACTGTTTCCGCCAATGGCCGCCAGGTGCGCACGTGATCATCCAAGATGGCGTCAGCTCGGCGATGGAAGCGGCCGATCGTCGCGCCCTCAGTGTCTCGCGGTTCATCGATCAGTGTGGTGTGTCGCGTTGTTGCTCCGGTGGATTTTTTTGGTGGTTTGTTCCTGGTTGGGACGATACTTGTTTTTTCATTTAGTTTCCTGGAGGCAACGCGGTGATCGTTTGAGGGGCTCTTGAACGGGCCCAGGAATAAACAGAGGAAAGATGCAACCGAGGATATACTGGATTCTGATCTGCACGGCCGTCATTCTCGCGGGATGCAACGCCGCTACCGAGGTGAGTACGAACGCTTTTTTCATTGCCTTTTCTTCTACCCTGTCACTCGTTCGTCGATCATTCGATTACCTTACGCGACGCGTCGCGTATTCTCGGCCAGCGAGTTTGGTCGCGATGCTATGTCGGTGCGCAAAGTTGTCGTACGCGTTCGTTCAAATTTCGAACGCGCTGCTAGATCGTCAGGCGTTCCTTCAAATCGCCTTATGAAATTCTCGTGACGAAACACGTACAAGGATGCACCGCATTCTCGCACGTATCTCAGGCCGCGTACGTGTTTGTTCACTAAACAATCCGTCCTTCGTTGTCGTTTGTTTACGAATTGCATGAATTTGTTTACTTGTTCTTTGACACACAGCATACGGGATAAGTCACGCACGGTTCGGAACTCGAGGGGCGATTTAACCTTAATCGTTTTCTCGAAATGTATTCGCGGAAGGTTTGTGCCTTGCCGAGAATTTTTTACCTACCATAATTACATAATACGACGAAGCACGTTAAATTATACGTCTCCACGGTGCGTGCCACAAATCTGTTATTTCTTACTCGTATTCTATCCTGGGAACGTAGGCGTCTCGTTTCGAACTTACACGACGATCAAGAATTCTCGCGTGTACATTCGCGCGACCGTTGAATGTTATCCAACTCGTTCTCTTTTTTCTTCTTTTTCGATGCTGGTACACGTTGTACGTTCAGTGAACCGTTGTTTACGTTGATTCCGGTCCAGCACGAGACAGAAGGACTGAAATGTTGCGTGGTTGTAACGAGTAATTCGATAGGTTGCCACTGTCAGACCGGAACATTGTCCCTCCCTCGTAAAACCTTTAGATTACGATTCGCGTGACCGTAGTGGCGTCGTTGCGCTACGAAAATCAAATAGTTCTCGATGAAATATTTATCGACGGTCGAAAACTGCCAAAAACCGATGAATACCTTCGATACTCGCTCCGCACAGGTCGTATTTTCCTGGAAATTTATCGACCAAGTCGTGGCAGGGATATATTTTTCTTCTCTTTTTCCCATCGCGCGAAATAACGGTTCTCGAGGATGCAATGAACGCGACCGTCAATGGAAAAATTAATGGCGTCGGTTGATTTATCGTGAAACGGAAACGCGACTCGCGGGAAATTAATTGAATTCATTTTAGTTAATTATTGCGCGCAAACAACGAACGAGTTTGTTGTACCGGAGACGAAAGTTTCTCGACTCATTTGCTTTTGTCCCGTTGTTTGGGATCGACGCGTAATTTGCCTGAATTAAACGGCCACGTTTGTTTATGTTGCGTTACGCATATCATTGCTCCAAGAGCACTGACAGACGAAACGTAAATCCATCGACAAGAATCATTGTACCGTGCTTCGATTTGTTCTCCAAATTTATGAACGGGTATTCGAAACAATTTAACGGAGTAATGAAATATTACTTTTGTGACCTTGATCATCTTTCTCAAATTTTATTTAACTAATACTGAGCTGTTACATGACATCTTTTCTTCCAATGTTGTAATTCTGTCGAAACAATGAGAAGCCTACGTTACGCTGAAGTGAACATACAGTATCGATTCATGTATCGATTGGAGATTTTTTTCGAGCTTATAATAACTCGCAAATACGGTATGGCTTGCCCAACGGTCGTCCCACGAGAAAGAATGAATTAACGAGAAATACCGGTGAAACCAGCAGAATTATGAAATCGAACTCGGTTTTTCCTCGCGTGATGAAAAATCAATTAGAAAGCAAAGGTACTAAATATGCAGACGAAAAACCAGTCAATTTTCAGTGTAAATTCTTTTATCAATTATAACGAGAAAGTACTTTTATCGATACACATTGATTCATGTTCGATCACGTAGAAATAGTATATTCCAAACGTGGCGCAAGTTTTATCGTTAGCAGTGAAACTAAATATCTTCCGAGTTCGTTTCAAAGCGAACGATGGCGCAAAATTAAATGAGATTAATGAGAGAAGTTGCTCCTGAATCGCTTTCGGTTAAAGAAACTTCTTTTTCCGCTTCTCGAGGAATAAAGAGCCGTACTTTCTTCAAGAAAAATAAAGGAAAGGGTCGCGGAAGGAAACCAAGCAACATTATTGAAACTTTTCAAATGATAAATGGAACAAATTTTTACTCTTCTTCACCGCTTCTGAAACGCAACAATTGCTCATTTATTTTATACAGCCTTTTAATTTCGTTATTCACGGTTTCGATGTTTGCGGAATTTTATTATTTTCTTAGAATATTTTAGGTGGAATGTTTTAGGTTCTAGGGATATTGGGGGTTTAGGGATTTGGGGATGTGGGGTTTTGGGGATTTAGTGATATGGGAATTTATGGATTTGGTGATTTAGAAATTTGGGGATGTGAAGACTTGGAAATTTGGGGATTTGACGATTTAGGAATTTGGGGCGTGGGGGTTTGGGGGTGTGAGAATTCGGGGGTGAGGGAATTTGGGGACGTGGGAATTGGGGGATGTGAGGATTTGGAAATTCGTGAATTTGATGATTTAGGAATTTGGAGACGTGGGAGTTTGGGGGTATGAGAATTCGGGGGTGTGAAGATTTGGAAAATTGTGGATTTGACGATTTAGGAATTTGGGGGCGTGGAAATTTGGACATGTGGAGATTTGGGGACGTGGGAATTTGAGGGTGTGGAAATTTGGAGATGTGTAGATTTGGAAATATGTGGATTACATAATACACGAATTTGGAAACGTAGGAATTTGAGGATGTGGAGATTTGGGGATGTAGAAATTGTATGTGAATGTATGGATTTGACAATTTTCGAATGTGAGAGTACGACAATTTGGAATGTAGGAATTCTGTATTTGATTTCTTACTAAACTCAGAAGAGTACTAATACGACTTCAAGGATTTCTATCTTTGACTTATGGATCGTCGAGTGTTGGAACATCAGCTGTAAAAGTTAGTAAGGTACACACGTATTCTTCGCTATCAGCATAGAAACAAGTACTGTCAGTTTGCAACTTTCTTTTTAATGGAACGAATACAGATTGTAAGAATTAACGTGACCTTGTCCGAACGGTATGTAGGAAGGCATAGTCTGGTTCGGCGTCGAAATGGCACCGTTTCACGACGAATATTAAACGAGCGACGTTAATGGCCTTTTACGACTCGCTCAGCCAGCTTGGGTTAGATTGGGGCAACGTACTTTCATTCTTTGATACGTAGGTGGTCGCTCTAGACTCGCTATCAAAAAGAATACAGCCTTTGTATAAAAGCAAAAAACCGTAAAAACACGTCGAATTACCCTTTTAATCTTTTTGTCGTCGAAGTAGATTTTTTCTCGATTCGATGCCTCCTATCGGTTCTATTTCACAAGTATGCAGATTGAAATTTTGCGCGAATATATCTCTGATCGACGAAAGGCGTTCAATCGAACGGGGTCAAGGAAAAGATCGCAGCTCGGCCTTAAAGCAAAATCTTTTCGAGAGAATAAAATTCTCTTGAAAGATGAAAAATTGCAGCTTCTTTAATCGCATGGTAAACGCTTCTCCTACTGCATATCATTTTTTCGTGCTGAATGTGCTTTATTTCATGGACCGTATTTCTTGAATACACGATCCTTAATTTCTTTGCATTTACCTTGCAATTACTTTGCACCTTCAGTCGCTTAAAACTTTGAATATGTATATTAAGCAGAGTATATCTTTTAAAGATTTATAACTCTGAAGACAAAGTAACACAATTTCACGATCCAAATGTGAGATAAAGAAAATTGAAATGGAACAAGAAATGGGAAATTGATTTGTGAATAAAAGAAGTTTGTCTTTTACGTTTGCATCTACTCTTGTCTATCGAAAGGAAGGTTTAATCCGAGGCGTATTCCTCATATAAATAGATAGTAGGATATGGTCGAATCGGTTTGTTTACAGTGTCGGTCGTTGCCTGAAGACTGCTTCGGTTTATTTTGGGTTGGGTGTCTCGTGCAAGGCGACAACGGGACATCGTGGCCCGGAATTTCGAATGAAATACATTAGAAACACGATCCCGCGACGTAGTTGAACCTCCATTGATATAACGTCATTGAAAATTCCGTATAGTTGTAGGGATGTTTACTTGCGATCGTTCCCTATCGAGATTCCGGCTTTCACGGCGTTCGTTCCTCGAACGGCTTGCATTCTAATTTCCAAACATCGGATCGATGCTCCCAACCTTTGCATTAATCAATCCTTTTCTTGATTACGTCAATTTCAAAGACATTTATTATTAATTCTTTACAGTTACTTTTCGAAAATTGAGGAGAAATTTTGAAGGTCTGTTTTGGGGTCTGATCTAGCATCAGGGTTAATGTTAAACTTGCCTCGCTACTCAGCAATGCATGTTACAATTCTTTAATATAAATCATATTAGTATAAAATTCACAAAGTTTCATAAATTAGTCTATCAATTTATTTAACTCTACGACACATGCTTTAAAAAAAAATAAAAACTCCAAGCTTCATAGAATTTTTCAATTATAAAAGCATGGAAACAGGTTCATTTCAATTATTAAATATTAAAAACAACGTGCAGTTTCACATTTCACTCTGCACAAAATTCTAAGCAATTTTTCAACCTGACCTTTTCGATCAAATTTGTATCCGTCAAGATAAAAACAGTGAAAGCTGAAAATTGTGGAAAGATAAAAGCTGGGAGGCAGACAAACCCACAAACAGTCCACAGTCGAACACTCAGCCATGTTGTCGATGACGAGATCCCAGAATGACGGGGGAGTTGGAGCGCGGTTCCAAAACTTTGACCCCTCCGTTCTAGCCGCACCCTCGACAAAAACTAACAGGGGTTTATATCCTTGACGGACATCGAGGGATGACTGTGCGATTGTTCAGCAGCCGGGTATGTAACGGTGTACAAACGATGCCATGTGGCTTTCGCAGGCTTTAACGAGCCACAGTGATCCTGTTCCCTGAAGCTCTCTGCCTTCCACATTGGCGTATTTAACTGGGAATTCTTGTTCCGCTATGCCTTCTAACTTTAGTAATAATCACG